TCCAGAATCTACAAAGGACTCAAACAAACTTAACAAGAAAAAAATCAAACAACCCCATCAAAAAGTGGGCAAAGGATATAAACAGACACTTCTCAAAAGAAGACATTTATGCAGCCAACAGACACATGAAAAAATGCTCATCATCACTGGCCATCAGAGAAATGCAAATCAAAACCACAATGAGATACTATCTCACACCAGTTAAAATGGCGATCATTAAAAAGTCAGGAAACAACAGGTGCTGGAGAGGATATGGAGAAATAGAAACACTTTTACACTGTTGGTGGGACTGTAAACTAGTTCAACAATTGTGGAAAACAGTATGGCGATTCCTCAAGGATCTAGAAATACCATTTGACACAGCCATCCCATTACTGGGTATATATCCAAAGGATTATAAATCATGCTGCTATAAAGACACATGTACATGTATGTTTATTGTGGCACTATTCACAATAGCAAAGACTTGGAACCAACCCAAATGTCCATCAATGATAGACTGGATTAAGAAAATGTGGCACATATACACCATGGAATACTATGCAGCCATAAAAATGGATGAGTTCATGCTCTTTGTAGGGACATGGATGAAGCTGGAAACCATTATTCTCAGCAAAATATCGCAAAGACAAAAAAACAAACACTGCATGTTCTCATTCATAGGTGGGAATTGAACAATGAAAACACTTGGACAGAGGAAGGGGAACATCACACACTGGGGCCTGTCGTGGGGTTGGGGGGACGGGAGAGGGATAGCATTAGGAGATATACCTAATGTAAATTATGAGTTAATGGATGCAGCACACTAACATGGCACATATATACATATGTAACAAACCTGGATGTTGTGCACATGTACCCTAGAACTTAAAGCATAAAAAAAAAAAAAGGTTCCCAGCACTAAGAGGATTTAAAACTCTTATCATAAAAATTATAGTAGTAATAGGAACCTGCTTACTGATCCCTTGTTTACTACCTGCACTCATTCAAATGGTAAAAGGTTTCATCGCTACTCTAGTTCACCAGAATGCTTCAGCACAAGTGTACTACATGAATCACTATTGATCTGTCATGCAGAAAGACATATGTAGTGAAGATAAAGGTGAGAACTCCCACTAATAAAATGAGAGAGAGTCTCAAAGGAGGGGAATAAGGGAGTAGAACACCCCTCATATTGTCTTATGCCCAATTTCTGCCTCCAAAGAAAGAAGTAAAAACTAAAAGGCAGAAATGAAATCCACAGGCAGACAGCCCAGCACTGAGCCCTAGGCCTGGTAGTTAGAGATCAACCCTGACCTAACTGGTTATGGTTATCTATAGATTACAGACATTGTATAGAAAAGCACTGTGAAAATCCCTGTCCTGTTCTGTTCCGTTCTGATTACCAGTGCATGCAGCCCCCAGTTACGTACCTGCTGCTTGCTCAATTGATCACAACCCTCTCACACGGACCCCCTTAGAGTTGTGAGCCCTTAAAAGGGACAGGAAATGTTCATGCGGGGAGCTCAGCTCTTGGGACAGGAGTCCTGCCAATGCTCCTGGCCGAATAAACCCCTTCCTTCTTTAACTTGGTGTCTGAGGGGTTTTGTCTGCGGCTCTTCCTGCTACGTTCCCATGTCATGTCTTGTATTATTGTTACTCAGGTATGAACTGTCTCTTTGCTGTGATGGGTGTACCTGCTTCTCAGGATAGACTTCTGCAGGATGTGATTCCTCTCACCTTACAGGGCCCAGCTCTAAGCTCTAAGCTCTGCTTTCAGCTGTTGTTCAATGCATGAGTGACATGTGCAGTGTAAGGTCATTCCCACCACATCATGGCCCAGTTCCTGGAGTCATTTGGCACCAGAGTGTGACAGAGAGGTGCTAGCAGGATTAAGCCACTCTAGGTCAGGATTTCTAGGACTGGGAAGGAGGAACCAGTAGGTTCCTTCTGCAGAGAAAGCTCTTTGATGAGAATAAGCTAAAGAAAGCTCGGAGAACTGTTTTATCCATTGGACTGACCCTTAAACTTTCTCTTTCTCATACAGTAGTCTCACACATCACCTGATGCTTCTGGATTATAATTCAAATAAGATTCTGGGTTGAGTGACTCATGTGGGTAAAGACATCAGTATTAGAACATTCCAAACAGGACTGGGCAGCTGTTGAGAAGAGGCAGAAGAGAAGGATGCAAGGGTCTAAGAGCATGGTCAGCCAGGATGAGATCTGACTTTACATTTTTTACCTGAAGAAATAAGGCCCAGGGCTTTGAAGTAGGTCTTTTGCCAGAAGCATCCAGCTAAGCCAGGCCTCAGCCTCTGCCAAAGTTGATCTGAGCCAGAGGGAAACATGTGTGTTCTGACAAGAAAGAGGATCAGTTGAAGATGGGGTAGCTTAGAAAGAAATCAAGTTCTACTGGGGTGTGCCCGGTTAGATAGTAACAACCTAACCCAATCATGCTCTGTAGTGGGAGGGATAGAGACAGGAAGGGTCACTTCAGCAAGGTTCTTTATGGACTGGCCAACCCTGGAAGAACCAAGACACAAGGTGAACACTGATTCCCTTTTGCTTTGCAATAAACTACCGTCTTTGAAGGTAATATGGGTGTGTCATCTCCAGCTATGGAGTACTCCCAGGGGAGGCCTAGACATCTTGGCACACAGAAAATCCATTCCTACTCTGCCCTGTTCAAATTCTAGATTCCTGACCCACAGAATCACTGAACATATTATAATAGTTGTATAAGCTTCTGAATATTAGGACTACAGCAATATTAATGAGTACATTTACCTTGCCTCAAAAGAACAAATTTTTTCAAAGACAAGAAATGATACTGGGCTTCTAAAAGAACCAAACAGGAGAAATTTGCCTAAACTCTTTCCATCTTGTAGCCTTCTCTCTGCTCATCGGCTTTGGTGTTCTCTCTGCAATCCACCATTTTTCAGTCCACACCATGAAAGAAACAGTTCTTCCCACAGCTCCCATGCACATCTACTAAAGGTGTAACTGGTCACATGTAACTTGGTTCTCTGGCCTAGCCTGGGTCGGATGTCCATCCCAGACCCAGTCCATGTGGTGAGGCTGCAGGGCCACGTGATATGGACATGTATTGGAAGAGAAGAGGTCACTATTGCTAAATATGGTACAGGGAGGGTAGAGAGACCTTGAAAGGTGTTCACTATATTCTCAGAGGCAGAGCCCTTAGAACAGGCACTGTTGATGTCCCATCCCATATTCTCTTGGCCTATCACAGTTTGCCAATAGCTGAGGCACAGTTTTCTGCAAGGATGACAACCTCCCCACCTCCAGTGAGTATTTCCCTTCTCCTTTGCCTGTGAGCTTTATCACACCCATGATAGTTGCTTTTCTGCAGTTATATAACTCAATCTTAAAGTGCATTAGAATTAACACTCCCAGGCCAACCTTCAACCAATTCAAGCAAAGGAGGATGGGAAGTGGAGATAAAGTCTCAGGCCCTGTAGTCCTTAGGAAGATTCTGAGCTATATCACACATTTAACATGGTTTCTTACGGAGTCCTAAAAGGGATTGAGCCAAGTTATCCACATGGTAACTGACTCATGAGTGAACCCTTGATCCCATTTCTCATGTACGTGGCTTTCTTTCATTTCTCAATTTATTTCTGCACTTGTGTTTCCTGGGATCTCTTCCCAAATCAGTGTGGTGAGCTGAATAGTGCTGCCCCCACCCACCCTTGGAGCTATATCCACTATGAAAGTTATGAAAAGAATGTATAACACAGTAAAATGAATTTTACACAGAATTAAGATTATGGACCTTAAAATAGAAAGATTATTCTAAATTGTCTGGGTGATCTCAGTTTAATCATAGGAGTCTTTAAAAGTAAAAGGCAGACTGAGCGCAGTGGTTCACGCCTACAAACCCAGCACTTTGGGAGACCAAGGTGGGTAGATTGCTTGAGCTCAGGAGTTTGAGACCAGCCTGGGCAACTTGGCGAGACCCTGTCTCTACAGGAAAATACTCCGGCATGGTGATATGGGCCTGTGGTCCCAGCTACTTGGGAAGCTAAGGTGGGGGTATTACTTGAGCCCAGGTGACAAAATATGTGGTGAGCTGAGATCATGCCACTCTACTTCAGCCTGGGTGACAGAGTGAGTCCTTGTCAAAGAAGAGGAAAAAAAAAAAAGTAAAGAAGTGAAAAAAAAAAGGAGAAGGTGAAAGAATCAGAGAGATACAATGAGAAAAAGACCTAGGACATGAGCCTCAACGCACTGTTGCTGCTTTGAAGATACAGGAAGCGAGCTAGGAGCCAGAGTGTGGCAGCCTCTAGAAGTGGGTACAGCCCTTAGCTAAAAACCGGGAAACAACTGGGACCTCAGTCCTATAAATGAAAGGAACTGATTCTGTCAACAATCTGAATAAGCAAGGAAACAGTTTCTTCCTTAGAGACTCCAGAAAAGAATCCAGCCTGCAGACACCTTGATTCTAGCCTGGTGAGATTCCTGTGGGACTTCTCACCTACAGAACAGTGAGATAATACATTTGTTTTGCTTTAAGTTTATGAATTTCTGAGGCCAGGCGCGGTGGCTCATGCCTGTAATCCCAGCACTTTGGGAGGCCGAGGTGGGTGGACCACGAGATCAGGAGATCAAGACCATCTTGGACAACATGGTGAAACCCCATCTGTACTAAAAATACAAAAAATTAGCCGGGCGTGGTGGCACACACCTGTAATCCCAGCTACTCGGGAGGCTAAGGCAGGAGAATAGCTTGAACCTGGGAGGCGGAGGTTGCAGTGAGCTGAGATTGTACTCCAGCCTGGGAGTGGTATGATCCAGTCTCAAAAACAAAACAAAACAAAACAAAACAAAAAAAGAATGTTTATAAATTTCTGATAATTCAGATGGCAGCAATAGAAAATGCACCCAATAAGGGTTTTGTGAAAATGCTGTAGTGAGGTAAACTGAGACTGTGGTGAGTACAGTGGGTGTGCAGACTACTCCTCTTTGCTGAGTAGACTCCACAGTCTAGAAAAAGCCAAGTTGAGGAGTAAGCATTATTAACACTTTATTAAATGACTAGAACTTGACAACCACTTGCCAAGTAGAGGGGATACAGTGGTGAGCAATAATAGTGATGATAATGAGGAGTAGTTTTCCCTAGCAGGCATCAGTTGAAAGGAATATGGGTTTAACATCCACCAATGACCAGGGGTGGACAGACCTATTTCCAGAAGACTGAGTCCATAGTGGGATTAAAACCATCCCTGTAATTCTTCTAGCTTCCTTCATCCAAATTTCCTATATCACAGAGAGTCTTTAGGGTATTTTTTCTGTCTGGAAACCTTGACGGTAAGAAGGCTGGTTCTGGCTGCGATATCACTTATCACATTTTTGGGTGGGCACACATCTGTGCCCCATTATTTATTGCGAGGGGCCTCTAGTCTCATTCCAAGTCACATGTCATGTGAGTACTATGAGGTTATTCTCTCAACCAAGACACTCTGCAGAGCTAATCCAAGGAGTGCTGGGTCTAAGGCTCTGATAATTAGCTGGGAAGGAGTCAACAGGAGTGTCAACTCCACAACCACCTACAATGATCCTTACCCTGGAGCTGTCCTGGGAAAAGAACCTCAGGGCTACAGGTGGGTTCTTCCTATCAGCGAAGAATCCGGTGGAAAAGAATGGGCAAATGGCCAGGGACTGAAGCTGACCATCTCCCAGCTGCACAAATTACTGCATGAGTTATGTAAGTTACTTAATGTTGCCCTGCCTCAGCTTCCATACTTGCAAAATGAGACTACTTGACAGGCTGTTGTGAGGATTAAAGGAGTGACATCCACCAAAGCTCATAACACAGCACTCAGAACATTTTTAAGTTCTCCATTAATGTTAGTTACTGCTGTTTAGATCCCAGCTCTGTTATTAAGTAGTCATGTCTACTTTGTAAAGTTAATTCACTTTTCTGCACCCCAGTTTCCTTATCTGTCTAAGAGGACAATAAGGTGGTACTAAACTCAAACAACTGGCATATGAATAATTGAATGAGTATCAGTAAAGTGCTTCAGTGTGTGCCTGTAGCTTTATGGTTGTGATTGGTTGCTGTAGAGGGGGAGGCCCTCAGCTCTAAGCTGGGCAGGGAGAAGCAGAGACAAGTTACTTCAGCCTGAGGCTCCCCACTTTCCCTAGCTAAGCCCAGGGTCACTGGTGTCTCTAGGGAGACACCTAATGATCACCACTCGGTCAGAATGGAGGAACTCTCTTCTTCTTTTGGCGCTGGACAAATGGTCAGGGCAGTGGGCTCCAAAGTCAAAATTCTGAAAACAGGATATAGAGGCTCAGAGAAGGAGACGTCCAGGAAAGTATGAATATGGGATCCATTCACAGCATTGTAGAATGAGATATCTCCAGTCTCATAGTCCAGGAAGACCCCCACTTTCCTAGGGGATTCAGGAAGTTCCAGGTTGGTTCTGGGCTCAGTTAGAGTCCGATACTTTTTCCCATCAGTCAGTCCCATAGTCCAGAATCCGTTCTCAGGTGTCATTTTGACCCAACCTTTTCTCTGCACATTCTTACTACACACCCCTATATGCCACTCTTTCCTGTCCCCTACCTCCACCTCCCAGTAATGTCTCCCTGACATGAAGCTCTCACAGCCGAGAACACAATAATGCCAATCAAATCTCTCAGGGTTGTCTGGCAGATCCTGGGGCTCCTTGGCACGCTGCACACTCCTCTGGTCCTCAGAAACAAGGAGGATGGGGTTTGCTGTTTTGGGATCCAGAATCACATCCGCTGTAGAGTTTGAGGAAGTGTCCATGGGGTCAACCATTTTTCCTGGATTTCAGAGCCTCAGCATGCAAGGCCTGGGCTGTGCTGAGGAGACCTGAGTCCAGAGCCCGGCATCCCTAGCCTTCCCTAAATGTGACTCTCTCATTGATGCCAGGAGAGAAAGCCCCAGGTATCTTGTGTCCAGAGGGGAAGAGGAGGGTGAAATGAGAGTTGCCTCAGCATCTGCCTAACCCAACACCCTGATGCTGCCTCAGGAAGCAGCAAGCATCCTCTTTCTATGTTTTTCTTGTTTTCCTCCCCACATTGACTCTGCCCACTAATGCTTTATGATCAGAGGTCAATTTTCAACTTTCATTTGACCACTCATGAGCTAAATGTGTACCCCTTTTCTGCAGTCTATTTTCCCACACATCCAATTTATTTAACAAGGTGGAGCCTCGTCTAAAGCATTCCCTCACCTGAAAATGGGGATAAAAATATGAATCTCTAGCATAGTATAGGGGAATCATGTTATTTATTCAGCCCACGGCAGGGCACGAAGGAAGTTCCTGATGTTCTAATAGCTGCAAGGCTGTCTCTGTGCTGGGCTCTATGTGGGGCCTTATATGACCTAGATTCACTCTCCACCCTTTAACTTTCTCCACACTCTTTTGGGCCCCAGGAATCTGCCCTCTAAGGACAGTGTCACTGGGCTCCCTTGTCCTCTGGTTTGCTGTTGGGTTTGGCCAATGGGAGGCCCTGATAGAAGATTGGAAGGAGAAAGAAATGAGAGACACACCGTTTATTTTCCTGCTTCCTCTCTGCCTGCAGCAGCTGGTGTGGCTCTAACAAGGCCTGACGAGTCTTCTCAGGAAGCCCTGTCTTTGAGCTACCTCTTTCTCTGGGTTCCCGTAACTGCCTCCCCTCCCTACCCCTCCCAGGCTAGGGGTGGAGACAGCTCCCCACTGTTGGGAACCATGGGGGCACTGCACTTTTCTTTGTTGCTTTCCCTTAACCCTCCTTTCCGCAAACCTTCAGCCACCCAGTTTGAATTCATCATCTCCTTCTTACTAGGTTTTTGACCAATGGATATGTATTATTCCTTCAGTCTTCACCTCAACCCCCACAAACACAGTTTGAAATCATTACTTAAAAATATGGAGGCCAAAGCTCAGAAGCATTACGTTTTTTGAGGAGGCACTGGCAGTAGGTGGCATGAGAAGTCTGGGAAGGACTAAGTTCTTTGGGAAGCCATTGCCTCCTCTCCTTGGCATTTCCATCCTCACTCTCCCTGCAGTATCACTCAGTGTGTGCCTCCTTCCCCTCAGCTCCACCCTTTCTGTGTCTTCCTTCCCAGGAAGGTCTGAGGAATCCCAAGAGATCTAATCACCCTGGTTCCCTGGGCTCTCAGTGGGAAGGGTCTTAGAGATGGGTCCACTCTTCAGATTGGAATTTATTGTTGCCTACCCCAAATTCCTAGTCGTGGGAGCTTTTCTTCCCCAAATCACAACAGTTGGAGAAGCAAACAGGAAAAGGAATATAGTCCCTCAGGTTGTTGGTCCAGGGAACATACAGTGATTTACTCACCTGGCTTGAAGAGGGCCTTTTTCCATTCTGAAAGGAAGGAGACACAGATAAGGAAAAGGTCAGTATTCTTGTACTTTCCCCACTGCATTCTCTCCTCACTACATGTTTTCTCTCCTTTTCTTGTGAATCTCTTCCAGAGTCCAGCCTTCCTTCTCGACAACTCTGATGGATCAGAGGTGGCACTTTCTAAAAAATGGTGGGCTCTGTTCCCTCTGTCATGAAGGGTACAGGCTGCATGGCCAGGCTTTGCAAGGGGGTGTGTAGGGTCAGGAGTCTCTCAAATTCTCCAGAAAAGCAGAAATCAACCCCCCACCATAGAGAAATTGAGTATTTTGGTTAAATCTGATTCATGCAAATGAGAACATCAGTGGGTCACAGCAGAGAAAAGGTTGAAATGTTCATGGCACGTGTCCCAGCAAACTCAGAGAGCATCAGGCTCACTCACCATTATAGGCTGAAGGTCTCTCTCCCACTACAATGAAAGAAAGGTAGAGATGTCACCTTAACTTGCCATGTTTGATTTGGCCCTATTCCCTTGACTTTACATTAATTTAATCTTTTTCTTTTCTTTTTTCTTTCTTTCTTTTTTTTTTTTTTTTTTTTTTAAACCACCTGTATCTTCCTCCTCTGCAGGTTCAATTCTTTCTATGGTGTCGTTCTTAATATCAAATCCAGGAACATCAGTCGAATACTAGTAACATGGCAGACACTGTGAGAGTTCCTTCCTGATGGTGTTCAGCTGATATATTTGGAATGTATCTATACTGCTATACCTAGGCAGAGGTGTCACCATGTCTATATGCATATATATATATGTGTGTGTGTGTGTGTGTGTGTATGCAAGATCCTTCTATTTAAATTTGTAATTTCCTACCTTACCCTGAAAAGAATTTGGGAAATTTAATGAGCAATTTCAGAAACTAGTTTTTGAAGCCAGTTAGAATAAATTGGTACCAACTGAGAAACCATACAAGCCACTCTTGTTTATTAGACACAGTTTTCTCCCTCTCTCTTTTCTGATTTTCTTGTTCTTTGTTATCTTTTGTTCTTCTTTGTCTTCTCTGGAGCCTATAGATTATGTAAAATGAAGAGTGAAGTTCCTACCATAGAGAGTGAACTTCATCCACCTCTTCCCCCTTCCTTTACAAGTGTGCCCCTGGATATTCCTCAGTGCTTTGCAGGGCTATAGAGTCTGTGGCCCCTGGTAGAGAGAAATTGAAGGCATCTTTTCTTGGAGAGTAGTTGAGAGAGAGAAAGAGAGCGAAAAAGAAACACTTCTCCTGGGTGTTATTCCAATGAGTCACATTCTTTTTCTTTTTTCTTTTCTTTCTTTTTTTTTTTTTGGCAATGACTAGGAATTGGCACATTTATTTTCTTTCCTTAGTCAAAGAGATCTAAGACCACTTCCTAACCTTGGGGAAAAAGTTAAGAGTGGGAACTATTCAAGCACAGACAGTTAAAGATTCAAATTCAGAGAAAATGTCAGTCACTTACAAACTGTGTACTGCATACTTCTCCACCCTGCAATGGAAGGAACAGGGAAGATGCATCAAGGCTCATAAAGCAGGGAGAGGAAGACATGCCTGGGTCCCTGGGGGAATGGGAACTTACTGATTTCCTCCAGGAGCTTCTCTGGAAAATAAGCAGAAAAAATAATGAACTGTTACAGGTGAGGGAGTTCTCTAAAAAATAAACCTTAAAAACAACCCAGTTCTGGGGTGGGGATGGGTATGAGGTCTTTGGGCTTTGGCCTGTAAGCCAGGGGCTCAGGTAAACTCCGGGGTCAGCTACCTCTTGTGCTTTTTTCTTGCTTCACTGTGCTCCATGCCAGTTCTCTCAACTCTTGCTCTCTCTTTTTCTTTCTGAACAGAGTCTTTTTTTCCTCCTGCTGTCGCCACAGGAAGTAACCAGCTCCCCCAAGAAGCAGCAGCAAGACAGGCAGGGTCCCTGCCAGGGCAGCGATCCAGCTCTGGGCCCTCCTGAAGAACGGGCCTGTGAAGGGAAGTGCTGTGGGCCATGGGGGCCGGTGCACTCAGCCTCCCCAGACTGCAGCACCCCAGGTGTTAGCTGCTCACCCCAGGTCACGGGGCACGGAATCTATCTCACAAGGTTAAATAATCTTTCTCATCCTAAAATCTCAGAGGACAGTGAGTAAGACTTTGATAAACCCCCACTAGAGGCTGCTACTATTCCTTCTCTTGAGATGTCTGCCTCTCATGTGGAAAGTGAGTGACTAGAGAATATCATACACTTTTTTTCTAATTCAACTTTTTAATAGGTAACACATGCACATGGTTCACAAATACATGTATAAAAAGTCACACAAGTCTCCCATCCACCCAGTCCTCCCTCCCACCCTCCCTTTTTTGACTTCAAATTAGTCTACTTAATATGATGCTTAAGAACAGGAACTTTGGAGCTGGAGGCCCTGGATGTCAATGCTGGCTCCTTTAGGTGACTTGCAGTGTGACTTTAGACTAATTACTTAACCTCTCTGTTCCTACTGCCCTTCTCCTGAAGTGAGAAGGATTAAATTAAAACTTATAAAGTGCCTGACACCTAGTGGGTGTTATGACACTGCTTGTTAACTTAAAATTGTGAATAAAAATATATGCTTGTTTTTCCTCTCATTTGCACTAAAGATAGCATTCCGTACACACCACTCTGCATTTTGCTCTTTCTGTGCAAAGTTAATCTTGGAGGTTTTTCTTCTTCAGTATAGAGAGAATTCTCTCTTTTTTCTTTCACACTTGAGTGGTATCCATTGCATGCAGTGAACATCTGCATAGTTTCCAACCTTGTGCAGTTATAATCAGTGCTATAAAAAATAACTTTTTACCTGGATCATCTCACACAAATGCAAGTTTATCTACCAAATCAATTCCCAGAAGCAGAATTTTGGATTACTAAAGATGTAGTTTGGATATTGTTATGTAGTCCCCAATAGAGGTTGTGCTAATGCACACCAAAAATACAAGTCATCCCTGCATATGCCTAGGAGTCACAGTCTTCCTACATTCCTGCCATAACCATGTGTTATCAACCAACAGATGTTTGTTTTGATTTTTGCCAATACCATAAGTGAAAAATGATTCAGTATGTTTCTCTAATGAGTGAGAATGAGCACTCATTGGTGGGTTATTTCCTTTTCTGTAAATTAAACAATGTATGACCTTTGTTAAAATGTTTTACTCAGTTTTTAAAATCTTCTGTGTCAAGGAGATTAGCTCTTTCTCTATGATATGGGTTTGTAAATATATATATACACACACACACACATATATATATACACACACACATACATACATGTTTTCCCTTTCTGTCATTTGACTTTACATAAGCAGCTTATCTTAACAATTATTCCCCAATTCCCATTGCCTGTCACATTTTCTGGCAGACAGAAAATGTTCAGTAAATGTTTGTGTCATGAACAGCTTTATGGAGGAGAGAAGCTCCCCTGGTGCAAGGAGGAGTCTCCAAGTCCGTGCTTTGGGCCTTATATTCAGTGCAGAGACCCAGGTTGACTGCAGACACTAACACCTCCCCCTTCATTCAACTGCCACAGCTCAGTTCAGAAAATCTGAGGCAAGCAGGTACTGACCTGCGATGGAAATGCTGGTTGTCTTTTCCAGACCGAGGAGGGAACTTCTGATGGTACAGGAAACACCCTCCCCAGAGCTGCCTCTCAGGATCACGGATGCTGCTACTGCATACAGGCCCACTCCATCTACAAACACAGGTGCTTCCACAGCCGGGATGTTCTCTCCCTTGTCGTTGCTCCACCGTATTTGGGGTTGGGGGTACCAGCCAGTGGACCTGCACTCCAGATGGATCCCTCCATCCTCATAACCCTTCACGTCAATGTGAAGATCAGAACCCAGTGCTGTGGAAGGATGAATCAGCCTAAATTCTTGAGAGCTCCTATGTCATGGAGGGTCTCAAAAGGAATCAGGGCACGCTCACATTCTGTAATTCAAGAAGAATTTCATTTCAGAGCTGCTTACAAAAGTGTGGTCCTGGTGAGGAGAAAGCTACATGAATGAGTGCAGTATCCCAGGGTCAGTGACAGTGGGGCTATTCCCACCCACTCCAGTTACCAGAGGGAGGAGGAGAGGGAGCTGTTTTGAAGACATAAAAGAAGATATTTATGCATTGAGGACTTTCTTGAGAGGGACAGTGACCTTCAGCAAGGCAATGCAGTCAGGCCGAGGGTACCTTGCAGGAAGGAAGCCAGGGAATAAGCACCCAGACCTCTATTTTCTCTCCCTCCCTTCTGCATCTGCTACAGATCCCTACTGACCAAACCCTTAAACAGAAGCCACAGGGAAAAGGATTGCACTGAGAAAGAAAAGGGCAGCCCCCTCATCTGGAAGCAACAACAGGATTCAGTGTCCTCCTGTTGAACAAAAGGGATTTCACAGAACACCAGCATCAGATGATGGCACTTTGTGACTATGATGGATCATGGGAAAAACAAGACCACCCCACATCCTGTGTGAGCATAGAGAAAAACATGAACACTGTGCAAACCACAGCAATGACCAAACATCCCCCATCGACAATCAAGGATTGCTGTCCCTTCATCAATTACAGCTTCAGTCTCACCCTAGTCTCCTTCTTCCTAGATAAGATTAAGGTTCTTACTCATAGAATCAACCTGTGCACACCTTCCTGACAACATCTCATCCAGAGCAGAGGCTGAAGTCTATAAACCCTCCTCCCAAATCCCCTAACACAAGCCCAAATTACATACTAAGTCGGCTCTAACAGCTTCTCACTGAGACTCCGCCACAGCTCCCCATGATGTGTGTTCTTCCTCAATGCAACAAGTAAGAAACACAGCTCCCATGACTACAGGTATATTCTAGGGTCATTGGCTCGAGAACATTGGCAGCAGATACAGTCCCAAAAGCCCAGTCTTCTAGGGCCCACAATAGCATGTACCTAGTGGGGCCACAGAAGCCACCTGGTACACAACTATACACGAATGACTGTGTACCTCTCACTGAAGAGATGATTTCTTATGCTTCCTATCCCTCCTCCCTCACTTCGCTTATTTCTCTGGTGGCCAGCAGAAGGGATTTCATTACTTGAGCATGTAGGGCACAGCAGGAATTCTTCCTAAAGGAAAACCTGTGTCTTTCTTAAAGGCCTCAGACAAGCTAAGTTGGAAGGCAGTGCAGGCAATTGCTAGTGAGCAGCCAGGAGTGTCTGCAGTGCTTTTGCAAGAGGGACTCTGCATCTGCTCTAGATCCTACAGAGAAGTGTTCTCAGAACCAAACCTGGAGGCTCACCTGCAACCTTCAGCTCCACCAGGGCTTTTTCATAGAAGTCGCCATCTTGGAAATAACACAAGTACTTTCCACTGTCAGAGGCTGTGACGTTGTGTATTCGGAGAGCAGCCTTCCCTGCAGTGATGCCATCCCGTAGAATCGAAGTTCTCCCTCGATACGCTGCACTCTGCCTGTCTTCCACTTCCTTTCCATCTGCATACACGTTCACCACCTGCCTTAGGTTGGAACTCACCCACCTCAGCTCCATGGTCTCTGCGCTCATGGTTGGGAATAGGTGACAGGGCAGATCAGCATCTTCACCTACCATGGCCAGGATGGGCCCAGGCGGTCCAACCACAGCAAACTGAGCTGTTGGCACAAGGGGGAGGATCTGTCAGAGGGTATTGGAGTTGGGGTCAGGAGAGGAAGGGTGCTTCTCAGACAGGGAAGGCGAGATACCAAGAATCTAGGGGGAGGCTGGGCGCGGTGGCTCATGCCTATAATCCCAGCACTTTGGGAGGCCGAGGAGGGCTGATCACAAAGTCAGGAGACCGTGGTGAAACCCCACCTCCACTAAAAAATAAAAAAAAAAGAGGCTGGGCGCTGCGGCTCAAGCCTGTAATCCCAGCACTTTGGGAGGCCAAGATGGGCGGATCACGAGGTCAGGAGATCGAGACCATCCTGGCTAACACGGTGAAACCCCGTCCTACTAAAAAAATACAAAAAACTAGCCGGGCGAGGTGGTGGGTGCCTGTAGTCCCAGCTACTTGGGAGGCTGAGGCAGGAGAATGGCGTGAACCCGAGAGGAGGAGCTTGCAGTGAGCTGAGATCCGGCCACTGCACTCCAGCCTGGGTGACAGAGCAAGACTCCATCTCAAAAAAAAAAAAAAAAAAAAAAAAAAAAAAAGATTTAGCCGGGTGCGTTGGCTGACACCTGCAGTCCCAGCTACTCAGAAGGCTGAGGCAGGAAAATGGCGCGAACCCGAGAGGCGGCGCTTGCAGTGAGCTGAGATCGCGCCACTGCACTCCAGACTGGGTGACAGAGTGAGACTCTATCTCAAAAAAAAAAAAAAAAAAAAAAGAATCTAGAGGGGGAAACCAATCTTAACAGAAGCACCATTTGTCTCTTAGTGACACGTGAACCCTCAGGTCAGGATGGACTTCAGGTATGGGAAGGAGTCAAAAGTCCTATGAGGACATAATCAGGTAATTGTCTGCTTCAGAAACAAGTGTGGAATCATTCCCTACCTGAGTGAGGCATGAGCAGCTGAAGCAAAAGGACGCAGACATGAAAGTTGAGAAGAAGGAAGGCCAGGAAATTTCCCATTTTCATTCATGCTTCATATCTGGAGACACCAGAAGGTGGGGGGTAGACTCTATGACCTGGAAGAAGCTATAGAATTCCAGATGGAAACCTCCACTTCCCTACAGTTAACTCAAGTATGGTGATCGAAGAAGATCTTACCTCTGCCAAAGATTTCTGTCCTTTAGTGTCTTTACGTTTGAGTCCCAACATTGAAAACCACCTGCAAAAACATGTCTATGTGAAATGCACATCAGTTATTCGATCATAAAATCCTCACTCTACTGTTTGACAATATTCAGAATCCTATGACTTCCCCAAACTTCCCCTGCCAAGTCCAACCTACCACAATCCCCTCTGATTCATGCAGGACCCTCTTCGTTGGGCTCCCTGGTTCTACCAGGGTCCACTACTGTGGGTGTCCAACACTGTGGACTCCTCAAAGCCCCAACTCTTGGCCATCACCATGGTCAAGTCATGGACCAGTGGACTCCTGGTGGGATTCAGGAAGACTGCCTGGTGGGGGACCTGAAGTCTGTCAGGGGCTGAACCCACCACATTTAATCCAAGGCTAGTGATCAGACAGCTGCTAATAAGACCAGGCCTTACTTATCTTTTCTTTCTTACCTTCATAAAGTCATTCAACAAATATTTACTGAGCACCCACAAGGGGCCAGGCCCACGATATAAGGTTTAGGGACACAAAGAGGATAAGCAATACGTAAAGGCTCTAAGATTCACAAGCTATTTGGTCTCAGACATGGGACAAAACCATTGGAACTTTATTTACTCATACAATATCATGAAGTGTGAAACTTAGAATGTGCACAATTGGCCCAGCAATTCCACTTCCTGATGTCTAGTCCAGCAAAGTACTTGCATGGGTGCAGAGAGAAGCCTCTGTGAGAATGACACTGCAGCACTATTTTTAAAGTATAAAAGTGGTAACCAACTGAACCAGCCACCCAACAGGAGACTGCTTAGAGGAATGATGGCTCATCCCTCAGAAGGAATTCAATGCAGCAGGTAAAAAGAGTTGATTTATTGTCATGAACCTAGATAATGGAGACACTCTAAGTGATCAAAAAGCATGTTGCAGAACTATACTAAAGATTCAATTGAAAAACAAAAGCAAAGCTATACATTTCTGCATAACTGTTTATGTAAATGCCTGAAAAACTCTCAAAAGATGCATGCTAATCTGAAGATCAGAGGCTAGTGAGTGAAAGGACTCTTGGCCTTTTGCTCCCTTTACTTTTAAAATATTGGAATGCTTTAAATGTAAAACTTTTCATGTATTACTTAACGATAATTATTATGAGTTACGATAGTGACAGGAACATATTAGCTGCTCCGTAAATACTAACTCCTCAACAGTTTCTTCCAAAACAAAGGAGCATGAGGCCTGCAGCCATAATCTCTCTCGCAGTTGGCCTGGGAGTGGCCTCTGTGAACAAGATCTGCAGAGGGAGGTGGGCAGGGATGTAAAGGAAACAAGGGAACAGAGATCTGAGCAGCCGGCCATGCTCCACACCTGCCTGGATCTTGCAACCAACCAGAGCAAACATTGCATTTCACCACATCTTTTGCTTCTGGAAACTGCTCTTTATGTTGCTATAGAGGGGGTATCATTTTTATTATCATTTTCTCTGAGTTAACACGTTCTCTGCTGTCCTTAGAGTGAGATATACCTTTTTCTTCTTCTTTTTTTTTTTTTTTTGAGACGGAGTCTTGCTCTGTTGCCCAGGCTGGAGTGCAGTGGCCGGATCTCAGCTCACTGCAAGCTCCGCCTTCCAGGTTTACGCCATTCTCCTGCCTCAGCCTCCCGAGTAGCTGGGACTACAGGTGCCCGCCACCTCGCCCGGCTAGTTTTTTTTTTGTATTTTTTAGTAGAGACGGGGTTTCACCGTGTTAGTCAGGATGGTCTTGATCTCCTGACCTCGTGATCCGCCCATCTCGGCCTCCCAAAGTGCTGGGATTACAGGTTTGAGCCACCGCACCCGGCCCATTTTTCTTCTTCCTAAAGGATATTTATTTTTTTTCCTGATTATAGTCAATATTGCAAATGAAAAAAAGCATAAAGGAATATAAGTTTAAGCAGTGGTGCATGCCTGTAATCCTTGCAATTTGGGAGGTCGAGGTGGGAGGAACCCTGGAGCCCAGGAATTCAAGAACAGCCTGGTCAACATAATGAAACCCCATCTCTACAAATCAATCAATAAATAAAATATCTATAGTAGTAGTCATATACTTTGGTAGTGAAAACATAAATATTTCTCAAAGTATTTTGACTATGTATATATCAAGGACCTTAAAAAAGTTATATGCTTTACTAAGGAACGGCTATTAAAGAAAACAAAAAAGTTGTATACTTTGACCCAAAAGTTCCACTTTTAGGAATTAGTATTGAAGAAAAAGAAAATCAGGAACTAAGACAAAAATTTATGTTTTAGGCTGTTCAATATAGTAAAATCTACAATAGCCAAATGCAGAAAAGAGAAATAGCCCAAACTAGGGAAATGTTAAAAAATATTTGTAAAGGCCGGGTGTGGTGGCTCACGCCTGTAATCCCAGCACTTTGGGAGGCTGATGCAGGCAGATCACCTGAGGTCAGGAGTTTGAGACCAGCCTAGACAACATGGCAAAATTCTGTCTCTACTAAAAATACAAAAAGTAGCTGGGCATGGTGGCATGCACCTGTAATCCCAGCTACCCAGGAGGCTGAGACAGGAGAATCGCTGGAACCTGGGAAACAGGCTGCAGTGAACTGAGAATGCACCACTGCGCTCCAGCCTGGGCAACAGAGCAAGACTCCATCTCAAAAAAAAAAATTGTATATTCATACAATGAAATAGGTTGTATCCATAGGTTTTGGGGAAATGATGAATAAAAGGAAAAACACATACTGTTCCTAAAAGATACAAAACAAGGTGTAATGTGTGGCTCTAACGTTGTTAAAATTATAAATAATTGCCCTTCGTTACAAACACAACTCCTAAAGGCTTTTTGGAAATCTCTTTTATGACTGAAACATGCATTTTTTGTCTATCCCCCGCCTGTTGTATATGTATGCTGGTTCAGACTTTTCTATATTTTTAATATTTCTGAAATGAACAAATTTACATATGAATGTAAAAGGGACATCTCTTTTTAGAAATTCTTAGAATAGATGCCTTGAGTTGGCCAGAACAGATTTTAAAGATTTTTTGCCTTTTTGTGACCACAATAAATTCTTAAGAACATGCAATTAGAATATTTTTTGACCAAATCCCAAACTCTGCAGGTCTTTATTCTTTGCACTACTTCTCCCCTTTCCGTGTGTCCACATGTGTGCGTGTGCACCCCCTCAGCTACCCAGGAGACTGTGGCAGGAGAATCGCTGGAACCTGGGAAACAGGCTGCAATGAGCTGAGAATGCACCACCGCACTCCAGCCTGGGTCACAGAGCAAGACTCCATCTCAAAACAAACAAAATGCATATTCATACAATGAAATAGATTGTATCCGTTGGATAGCATTCTTTAGGTTTTGGGGAAATGATGAGTAAAAGGAAAAACACATACTGTTTCTAAAAGATACAAAACAAGGTGTAATGTATGGATCTAACATTGTTAAAATTATCAATAATTGCCCTTCATTAAAAACACGATTCCTAAAGGCTGCATGGAAATCTCTTTTATGATTGAACCATGCATTGTCTGTTTATCCCCTGCCTGTTGTATATGTATGCTGGTTCAGATATTTTCTGTATTTTTAATATTTCTGTAACGGACAAATTTACATATGAATCTATAAGGGACATGTCTTTTTAGAATCTCTTAGAATACATGCCTTGAGTTGGCCAGAGCAGGTTTTAAAGATTGTTTGCCCTTTTCTGACCACAATACGTTGTTAAGAACATGCAATTGGACTATTTCTTCACGAAACCCCAACCTCTGCAGGTCTTTATTCTTTACACTACTTCTCCCCTTTCCGTGTGTCCACATGTGTGTGTGCACACTCCCTCAGCCACATACCCCTTTCTTTGGGCAAGTACTCTCCCTGCATGCCCACTCTCGGCGATTCAGCCCGTGTCCTCCCAGGCATTGTAGCCCAGGCTCTAATCAACTTCCCCCGCTTACCTCTCAACATTCCCCTCTGAAAATCACAACCCACCGAAGAAAGGCGGTTAATAGTTCTCCATTCTTTCTATTATGGTTGAATCTCCACTTGGAAGAAAACAAAAGGAAAGCAGAGGCTGTCTGGTCATTGTGAGGAATAATCATCTCTTTTTGGAAGAATTAGTTTTTTGATTGGCTTAGAGGTGATGTTTCTCATCAGTTGCTGGGCAGAAACTACTGAGGAAGGTTGAAATGAAAACTGAAAGTATATTGGATTGTACACATTGAAGAAAAATTCCAGCCCTATCTCCCTTAGTGTTTACGTTTCTCTCTTTCATTCTTGCGTGTACATGTATATAAGTATTTCTATATATTTACTTATGTCTTTTTTCATAATAGAAATATTAGCAGTACAAAATGGGAAAAGATTTTAATGTGGCAAAGAGAGAAAGATGTGCACTAATTAAAATGCTATTGGGGCAGTTTGCTAACATTTGCTTGCATGAATATGGGTACATGCAGGAAGAGGAGACTTTACTAGAGTCAAATAAACGTATAAATGGAAAGAAAACGAGACACAATGCACTTTTTTTTTTTTTTTGAAAGGGAGTGTCACTATGTCACCCACGTTGGAGTGCAGTGGCAGGATCCCGGCTCACTGCAACCTCTGCCTCCTGGGTTCAAGCAATTCTACTGCCTCAGCTCCCTAATAACTGGGATTACAGGTGCTCACCACCATGCCCAGTTACTTTTTGTATTTTTAGTAGAGATGGGGTTTTGCCATGTTGGCCAGGCTGGTCTTGAACTCCTGAGCTCAAGTGATCCTCCTGCCTCAGATCCCAAAGTGCTAGGATTACAGGCTTGAGCCACCGCACCCGGCCAACAGTGCACATTTTTAAGTACTTCCAGCATCCAGGCATAGGATCTGTTAATAAATAATATAATTTTTCTGGTTTCCAAAGGCAGTGCTGCTTGACATGTTTTACCTTTTTCAGCAAATTTTTAGTGCAGGTGTTTCTGAGCATCTCCATTCACCTTCAGCTCCTGGTTTGTGCTACATTGTATTTTCCTGTGTATTTGTTTCTCATGCTGCCAGTGGAGTACACATTCTTTGACGCTGGACTCTAGACAAACTGTGAATACTGTCTCTGTAAGATGTCTGTGAAGCAAATTGGTTCTTCCTGTGGTCTAGGACCTCAAAACACACTTTCCGGGATTTCAAGTCAATGATCAAAGTTCCTAAGGCTAAGATGTGACTGCGGCTAGTGGAATTTAATTACATTGCAACAGTTTGAATTCAGACTGTGTGGCATCTGGTTGAGAAGGCTGGTCGCTTCTGGATCATGCATTTCCTGTTTCTTCTTGGTGATAAGACCTAATTTTCTTAGGTACAGCAACGTGCTGTTTCATCTCATAGATAGCAGAGGCCAAGGGACTAAGTTGGAACCAGTGGTTTGTAGGTGACAGTTGTGGTCTTATGCTTCTCCCAGAGAACCTTCAAAGGATGGACCAAAATAGCTGGGAGTGTGAGGGTACACTCTCCATACTTCCTCTTCCTCTTGCCTACAAGGTAGACTTTTGACCTGGAGGTGCAGCAGCCCTCCTGGGACCATGAGGCAACCTTGAAGTTGGAAGCCACATGTAGAGACAGCAGAGAATGAAGTCAGAAGCAGTCTGGGGCATGAATGACATCTCTGAGGTGCCAGATCAGCCCTGGACTGCCACCACCTGAATTCATTTTACGTGAAAACAAAAAACAAAAAAAACCAAGGAAACCCTTGTTTTGTTTAGGCCAGTGGTATTTCTGGTCTCTGTTATCAGGAGCAGAAGTACAAATTTTTTTCCTCTCCCTTTTTCCTCCTCAACAGTTTATCATAAAATTTCTAAAACATATAGCAAAGGTGAAAGAATTTTCAGTGAATACCAATTACCTACCATATAAATTATATTGATAGAGCTAATATTTTACCAAACTTTCTTACTTTATTATAATATTCCATATCTCTATTAATTCCCTATCCATCCATTATCCTTATTTATTTGTTCATTTGCTTCTTTTTTTTTTTTTTTTTTGAGATGGAATCTTGCTGTTTCTCCCAGGCTAGCATGCAGTGGCATGCTGTTGGCTCACTGTAATGTCTGCCTCACAGTTTCAAGCAATTCTCCTACCTCAGCCTCCCGAGTAGCTGGGATCACAGGCACCTGCCACTATACTCAGCTAATTTTTGTATTTTTAGTAGATGGGGTTTTGCCATGTTGGCCAGGCTGGTCTTGAACTCCTGACCTCGAGTGATCTGCCTGCCTCTGCCTCCCAAAGTGCTGGGTTTTCAGGGGTGAGCTACTGCACCTCATTTACTTATTTTTAAATTCATAGTCTATCAGAAGCTGTGTTGCTTGAAATTATGTCAGTGAGAACGATCACCCACCCTTGCCTGAAGGATCCAAATCACTTTGACACAAAGAAGCAGCTGAGGTGCTAAACTTCAGATTAGGAGTTTCTGGGCCCAATAATTCATATCTCTCAAGTTTGTAATTTCCAAAGTATCAGGCTCCTTGCTCCATTTCTCATACAGTTCTTCACACAGAACTCTGGGAAAGAAGTCTTGTGAAAGAAATGGATGTGAAATGGGGCAGAAATGAATTCAGTGACTCAACAAAGTTTTACTGAGAATCTATCATCTAGTAGGTCTCAGGCACTGAAGTTCAAAATTAGTGAGTAGAGGTTGCATAATGGAGTGGATAAGAGCACTAATTCTCAAGCCAGGTGGCCTGCATGACCTTGGGCCAGTTACCTAACTTCTCTGTACCTCAGTTTCCCTATCTGTAAAATAACAGTACCTGACTTTTAGGGTTGCTGTTGTGAGGATGGAATGAGATAATGCATGCAGTTTGGTAACAACAGTGTATCAAAAACAGTAAGTCACAAGAATGTATGCTTAGTAAAATTGTACTCAGCTCTCCTTCAAGACCTAGGCCCTTGATGCTATCTTCTCTTTGTCTTTTACAAGACCTAGTGCAGTGTCCTGCATGCAATAGGTGTGGCAAAATGCCAAGAAATCTGTCTCCTTTATTTAGTTAGTCTCATCAACAAATGTCCATTTCTCATGGTTATTATGCCACCTCTTGTTGCCATTAAGAACTCTCATGAACACACATTTTCTTTATGCTGTATCTAGATACCTGTCAGCACGTCCAAGGCACACTGCCTTACTATGTACTGTCGCTAGGTTTTGTTTTGTTTTGTTTTCTATCTTTATCTGTTCTCATTCACAACTCATTAGCCCTGGAATCCAAAGCCAGTTAACTAATTACTCAAGGTCTCTATTCATTTGTCTGTAGGGTGGAAATGAGATCTGTTCCATAAGTTATTTAAGGAACAGTTAGCACAGGCCCTGCAAGTAGTAACCCTCGATGAATTTCATTGCCTTCCTTTCTGAAAGGTTCAATTCTGATCCCTGCATTGATGACTCCTAAATCCACTTCCCCTGGAGATAACATCAACAGATGTCTGCTGTGGAGTTAGACTTTTAGTGTGAAGATGAAGGGAAAATCTCCGAAAAGTTTGACATGAGAAAATATGTACGGTTGAAACATAAGTGAGGTAGGTGCGGGGAAGATGGGAGGTAGGGGGCGCCATTTACATTGTATGCTATGGGATGATGCCTGCTGGGGTTGCACCATATATCCTGTCCTCATCGGTGGGCCAGATGTTAGGAGATAGGGAGACCAGGAAGGAAGCTACTGTGACACTCTAGGCAAGAAATGATGACTGCTTGGAGATGGGGGATAGGAGACTTTATTGATTACTAACGTTAATACTAGGAAATACTTACATAGAACCTGCTACAATGCTGGTATTGTGCTTAGAGATTTACATGTATTAGTAAGACTCACAACAACCCTAAGAGGTAGAAACCTTATTTCCTACATTTAATAGATATAAAATCTGAGGTCCAGAGAGGTTAAATAACTCCGCAAGGTCACGTGAGTAATTTCTTTCTAAGCTGGGCTTTGAGTTCAGGCTGTCTTACTACAGAGTCTGTGCTCAAACCACTGAGCTGGACTACTGAAAGGAAGTACAAATAGCAGGACTTGGCTATCAGTCAGATGTGGTGGGTAAATGAGAGCAAGAGAAGGCTAAAATGACTCTTAGGTGGTGTCGCTCCTTCAGATAATAATGGGTAGGCAGGGCTGATGGGAATTTAGTTTTGGACACACTCATTGTGAAATGCTAGTGGGCACTGAGTTCAGGGAATGTGTGGGGCTGGAGACAGAAATTCAAGTGCCGGTGGGGTCTGGTTATGGGGTAGAGCTTTGAAAACGAATTAGACCTTGCAAGAGCATATGTGGTGTGAAAAGAGAAGCCAGGACCAAAGCCTAAGGAATTTCAGCAGTTCTGGAGCAAGTGGAGCAAGAACTCTGAGAAGGATCTCCCTAGGAGTAGGGAAAGACCAAGAAGAGAGCCCTGGGGATTGATGAGGCAGATACCACATAGGCAGGAACACCTACTCAGGCAGGTCTATGAAGAACTCAGGGTTGTCCATAAAGAAAGGGCAGAAGTGTACAATGACTAGCAAGGCCCAGTGTCTCACAACTATAATCCCAGCACTGTGGGAGGCTAAGGCAGGAGGATCGCTTGAGCCCAGGAGATCAAGGCAGCACTCAGCTATGATCACACCACTGAACTCTAGCCTGGGTGATGGAGCAAGATCCTGTCTCTCTAAAAAGGGAAGCACAGGGGTGGCAGGGGAAAATAGAAATGTATAACGGATTTAATGGTTGGGAAACCATTAGAAACTGATAGAAACAATGCTTACGGGCCGAGAGTAGTGAATCTCTCCTGTAATGTAGCACTTTAGGAGACTGAGGCGGGCAAGGCACCTAAGGTCAGGAGTTCAAGACCAGTCAGGCCAACATGGCAAAACCCTGCTCTACTGAAAGCACAAAAATTAGCTGGGCATGGTAGCACAGGCCTGTAATTCCAGCTACTCAGGAGGCTGAGTCAGGGGAATTGCTTGAACCTAGGAGGCAGAAGTTGCAGTGAACCAAGATCACGGTGCTGCACTCCAGCCTGGACAACAGAGCAAAAGACTGCCTCAAAAAAAAAAAAAAAAAAAAAAAGAAAGAAAGAAAGAAAAAAAAATGTTTTTGGTGTGGTACAGCAGTGGCCATCATCATGGCAGACAGTG